TTTTATTTATTTATTTGTCAGAGAGAGAGAGGGAGAGAGAGCAAGCACAGGCAGACAGAATGGCAGGCAGAGGCAGAGGGAGAAGCAGGCTCCCTGATGAGCAAGGAGCCCGATGTGGGACTCGATCCCAGGACGCTGGGATCATGACCTGAGCCGAAGGCAGCTGCTTAACCAACTGAGCCACCCAGGCGTCCCAAATTAAAATATTTTTAAGTTTCTCTAATTCTCAAATGATAGAGAAAATACCTGGAGGCAAGAAAAACACATCCAGAACTACAAGAAACAAAACAAGGTAGGCAAAATTGTGTGTTGCTGCTCGTAAATATTTCTGGAGTGATAAAGAAAGAAAAAATTGGCAAAGAGTAGGATAGAGAAGCCTTGATGGAAGGCTGCTAAAGAGAAAAGAATAAGAAATCCCAGGATTAAGGAGCTAATTTAGGAATCTATAAATTCAACAGGGAAGAGGCATTGTCGATACAGTTTCCTAAAGCTTTGTCTGAGTGGTACCCGGCTTATCCTGGGTCCTGTGGTAAACACTTCCCAGAGCGAGTTATGGAGATAGGGTCCAGGCTCACAGCAAGTCAGTATAAACTCTGTTGATAAGTACTAGTTCTTTGACTCTCATATTCAGCTGTTTTGTCTATTCAGTCAAGCCAAAAGCACAGATTAAGCATCAACAATGCATATAGTGTATCACGCAGAGTTCAAATGTCAGTTAATGTGTGTGGATTTGGAAAATTGACCGACTTTTCTTTTCTCAATCGACATCTATTCAGCATGTCTTATGTTTCCAGCAGGAGAGTCTGTATGCTCCCTGCAACAAGGTGCCACACCTGTCTTGGTCCCTGCTGTATCTCCAGCATTTCGTTAATCTGTTGACTGATGCATGACTGACTCAATGAATAAAGTCGGAAAGATGACAACAGACAGACGCGGGAGACGGATGTACATAAATGCACATAAAAATAATAATGCCGTATTGTAAATACTATAGAATATGGACAAATTACGGCATGATCTAAGAAGAAATTGACTCCTGCTGGAGAAACTGGGAGAACTTCATGGAAGAAGGAATGTCTTTGAAGTGGGACTTGAATGATAGGTAGAAATTTGAAAATTTGAAGGCAAAGGGAGATGTTCTCATTATTATACGCCAGGAGCAGGAAAGTTACGTGCTGCTGGGAACTGGGTAGTCAACATCCAGGAGAGAGTAAGCCCAGGTGGGGGGTAAGGAACCTGTGAGCACAAATCCCACCTAAAGGGAGCAGCCGCTTATTTGGCGCTAATTGTTATGTGGGACTGAGGAGTCCGGGTGGCCAAAAGGACCAAGTTTCCAACAGAAGCCAGAAATCTGAACTGTTCCATAAGATCTCTGTGTTTTAATATTGCAAGTAATTAATACTAAGAGATTTATGCTGGCCTCATGTTTGTACTTTTATTGTTACATCTTAGATAAACTGAGTTCTCCTCATTGAGGAGATAATCTGCTCCTCACTCCAAGATTAATAGATATTCACTGAAATAATGTAGAAATTCCTCTTGTACCATTATCTATATTTATTAATGTATAAATTGCATGTTAAAAGAGTAAGCTTAAAATTGGAATCTTCTATTTTGAATGACCTTGTAAGATAAGAATTATTAGTTAACATTTTGCATTTTTGCCCTTTAAGAAAGGTTAACCATAATATTTTGAGCCTCAGTCTGCTTTTTAAACAGCATCTTGTCTTAAAACTTTTAAGAAGTTAGATTTACTTGCCTTTTAGGAAAATTCTTAATAAGCCGTTGTGAAACACAGAGATAACTAAGTGAAGATTATATATTACAGACAAGGGGGGCTTTCCTAAATATGATTAATAATATAAAATCTTTTAACCTTGTCTTTTGTGCACAAAGGCACCTTTAAGGGTGTCTCCAGTAAGTGCTATATTAACACAGAAGTTTAGTTAATTACAGCCACTATTCTCACGTACCTTAACCGAGTGTGAATACCAAGCAATCTCATAGTGTGCCCCTGAGCATTAATACCTAATGAAATTGGATTCCTTGTTTCCTCTAATGAGCTCATTGCTTTTCTAAATATGGTCATTGCAGGTAAATGATCAATAGCCTTGAAAATGACACCACTGCTGGATTATTTTGCCAAAAGACACTTTTCTTAGTGTAAAATGAGAATTATCACATATCTATCACAGGTTCCTTTCTAAATAAGCTTACATATAATGAGAAATACCATGGTGGATTGGTTGGCTTGTTTTAGTGGCTGTTAGACAGCGGGAACTGTGGACAGTCACTGTCCGATTGTAGAGCAGTGACTTTGAATCCACATAACCTAGCTCAGGTTGGAATAAACTGGATGCAGTATGTTCCTGTTAATCGAGACACTGAAGGGCGATAAGCTACGAGAAGGCCTGTTTTCTCATATGGTCTAGCAGTTCCCTACCAAGCATCTCTACTGTATTTGTTTCCAAGGGCTGCCATAACAATTTACCACAGCTTGGTGGGTTCACACAAGAGAAATTTATTCTCTCCAAGTTCTGGAGGCCACTTTGAAATCAAGGTGTTGACAGGGTTGTACTCCTTCTGAAGACTCTAGGGAAGAATCCATCCCTTGTGTCTTCCAGGTGCTGGGAGCTGTTGGCATTCCTTGATTTATGGCGACATCACTTCAATTTCTGCTTCTGTGGTCACATTGCCCCCTGCTCTCTGTGTCTCTCATCAAGACACTTGTCATTCGATTTGGGGCCCACTCTTGTACTTCATTAAATATGTAAAGTCCCTCTTTCCAAAAAAGGTCACATCCACAGGTTCTGGGACTTAGGACGTGGTCATCTTTTGGGGGGCCATCATTCAACCCATTATATCAACCTTTCTTCTCTTCTATCGCTGTTAGTAATGTTGTACACAGTTGCTATTCAGGTTGTTATAATATTTAGGTACTTTACTAAGATCATTTACGAGCAAATCATCTATATTATGTGTTTGTAATTATTAATTCTTATAACTATCTTAACACCATCTCCTTTATACACATAAGAAGACTGAAGCTCAAAAAAGGTAAGAAAGATCTTACCCAAGGATACAACACACCTTGTTAGTATCAACTTAGATTTAAAGTCTATACTTTTTTTACCCGTAGCTTAACTTGCGTGCATATCTAACTTGAGATGTTCACACCCTTCTTTAGAAATTGATATGTTAAACTTCACCAGGTTGACCTTCTTTGTTAAATTTGTAGTCCCTGTATTTCCTTAGGCAGATAATATTCCTAAACTCCAAAATATCCCTTCAGATTTAACCTTAGGAACAGTAAGCCAAAGTGAGGTTTTGTAGAATAGCCATAGGATGATATTAAAGTTTGGGCTTAACACTTCACTCAAAGCTATCTTCCAATTTCCAATGCCTGCCTGAAAGGGATTTGGTATTTTTTTAAAAATGGGTTTTTAAGTATACCGCAGGGTTTAAGAGCAAACACACAGACTGCTGTATTTGAGTCCTATCTCCTCCACTTATTAACTATACTTTCTTGGGGTTATCACTAACCTTTCCTGTGCCTCATTCTCCTTATTTGTGAAATAGCTGGAAATAATTGATATCTCACAGGATCCTTTAACGAATAAATGAAATCGTAAGATAAGTAAGTAGTAACTGCTTCATAGTATAGACTCGATGTAAATTTTCAAATTACCAATTAAGAGTATTTTACATGGAAAGTGATAATAGAAGCACAACATTGAAATTTGTGGTGGTGTGGCAAGCGGTGTGGTTTTATTTGGCTCACAACACAGCTCATGGCTTGCAGGCAGAACATGGAGCAGAGAGTTTCAAAGCGCAAATACTCCCTGATAAGGTTTGCTTTTGGAGATCAAAGTGTTTTATGTTCCTTTCTTCCTTCTTCACACCAGTTACGATCTCCCTGCTTTTGCATTTCTCTTCCCACTCTGTGGTTTATTCTTCCTTTAAGGAAAAATTTACGTTTTGTTTTCCAAGATAATTCTTGGTTAAATTGTACTAAACTATTCCCAGAATTCCCAGGTAATGTGAATCTGTAATTGAATCAAGACAAACAATCATATTAGCTCTGTTCCATATGCATGAGCTGTGTCAGGAATATTTGAAACTATTTTCCATTGGCATGTTTACATTTTAAGAAATCTATTGTGAAAAAGAAAAAAAAAAGAAATCTATTGTGACTTGCAGCTAACAGATAAAGTAGGGAAAGGCTGGGGGCACTGGTATCTTTTAGCTCTAGGTGGACACTAAGAGTCATCTGCAGAGTTTCTAAGTAAAAGTGGTTTATGGCTGTTAGACGGTGTGAAGTCAAGGCTCAATTTGTTCACATCCATCTCACAGCTTAAACGTTTGTAGTATGTCAGTGGAACAAAGAGGAAGAAGTTGTGGGTCTTTATATTTGATTTATTGTTTTCTTTAGGTATAAGTTTCTTTGGCAATTATTGTCAAATTATGAACTTTGTATATCATAACACCTTTCTTCATGGAACACAGGGTTTATGGTGAGCAAAAATTAATGTACATTCTTAACAGACTGAGGCTGCCAACAGTTAGCAACCATTGTTAGATTTATTGATTGATTTTTATTTATTTATTTATTTTTTTGATGAACATGTGTCAGCACAAGAAAGCCAAGAATTGTCTCCCTGTTAAACTACGACTCCATGATGGAACTAGTCATAGACACTTGCATATATCTAATTGTGATTTTATCTACATTGAGCACCACTCCTCCTGCCCCCCACCTCCAACCCCCCACCCCCATCAGGAAGTAAATTCATTTCCTGGTGGGGAAAGCCTTTAGCTGTTAGTGCTTAAGAGAAAATACTCTAAAGTACATTGTGCTTGTTGTAAATGAAATTCCGATCACAATTGCAACCACTGTCCTGTACTATCAAATGCTCAATAGCCAAGGTCTTCCTTTGATGGAGGGGAGCTGAAGGGTGTCTGAGTGAGTTGTTTTGCATGGTGTCTTCTCCAACATTTAGGTGAGCACAAAATGCCGAGGCCTCTGGTGGGAGTGTGTCACTAATGCCTTTGATGGGATCCGCACCTGTGACGAGTATGATTCTATACTTGCTGAACACCCCTGTAAGTATGCCTTAGACAAGCCCCTTGCCAGGGAGAGGGTATCAAACAACACTGAACTTGGGTTTCCATTGCATATTTTTGTTTTTTTACAGTCTATAGTAAAGTTCTAACTTTAGAAGTTTTGATTAAAACATTTATTTTATTTCAGAAATGTGAATTGAAATATTTTGAGTCTATTTTATCTTTTTCCATGTACTTATACATTCCTGTAGGGTAAAAATATTAACTTTTTCATCCCTGCTGCCTCAAAGGGCCTGGCAGAGCATCTTACACACAATAGACTTAAAGTACACACTTTTTAAATTGAAATGAATTCTTCAGGGTGCTGTGATTTGAGGATTAGAATCCACAGATTAGATGAAAAGTGTTTCAGAGGTGTCTTTTAGGTGTGACTTAAGTCAAATAGGAAGTTTACAGTAATTCAATGGGAAATTTGCTGAGAAAGAGAGAAGGTGGAAGTAGGGGGCAGAGACAGAGAGGCAGAAAAACAGACATAGAGATAGATAGGTAAAGAGAGAAACACAGGATCAGGGAATGAAAACATCAGTATACGTGATGATGCATGGTTAGCAGGTAGGGTAAAGCCCTCTCCTTCATCCTCCTGACCTTTAGCTTTAAATTTTGATCAGATGTTAGCAAGACCCACGTTCCTATGAAATAAAGATTTCAGGGGTGCCTGGGTGGCTCAGTCCGTTAAAGGGCTGCCTTCTGCTCAGGTCATGATCCCAGGATCATGGGATCGAACCCTGCACTGGGCTCCCTGCTCAGTGGGGAATCTGCTTTTCCCTCTCCTTCTGCCTACTTGTGCTTTCTCTCTCCGTCTCTCTGTCAAATAAATATATAAAATCTCAAAAAAAAAAAAAAAAGGAAAGAAAGAGATTTCATAGATTAAAAGATGTTACCATTGATTCTCTCAGTTTTTCTCCATAGCATTTATTTATTTATTTAGAACATCCAGTCATGCCAAGAAATACCAGAGCTGTTGTTAATGCTAATTGGTTTCGGTCTCTTTCAAAGTGGAGGATGGGGTATAGCAGGGAATGGCAACTTCTTTTCTCAAGTTAAATGAAAAGCAAACCCTTGGAATGTGACTTTTCCCCTGGATGGCTATTTCAGTCAGGGATAAGCACTTAAAAGGAGCAGTGGTCGAAAATATCTTCTTCTGCTATTTAGGATTTGAGTGTTCTTTAACCGAATTCCTAAGGCCCATATTTCACTTTTTTTTTAAAGACCTGTTAATTCTTTCTTTTTCCCTCCTTGAGCTAACCTAATTCTACCTACAAAGAATCATGATTTGGTCCATAAGAATGCAAGTTTATGTGGACACTAGACTATTCCAGAAATGTAGTGCTATGGTGAAAGCAATAAAAAAAAAAAAGGTAAAATATTTAAAATTTTGAAATACATTATGTACATTTATGCAAGAATAACAGAAAATATTCATAAGCTTACTGCACAGAGAAAACTGCTGTTTATATTTTAATATTTCTTCTTTTAATCATTTGTCTATACCATCTCACCTTTTAAAATATATTCTTACCTATTAATTTCAAATAATATCTTAAACATTCATCACTTTGATTTAAAAAATTCTATCCTATGCTTAGACACAAGATGAAAATGTATTCTAAGAAAATAACATAACTATACCCTCTAAGTTAGGATATTGCCTGTGATATTTTATTTTTAGTCTTTGATATTTTTTACAGAATCGTAATTAGATAACCTTTTCCATTTTCCTGTAGACCAAGGGTATACAGACTCAGACAAATATTTTTCAGGACTCTTGTTGAGTACGCCCTCCCCAAATCAGAATATTTAACATTATTCTACCAGCCAGATCTCAGACAATTCCCAGGAAGAAATTCCTGGCTGGTTAGTATTAGCCATCTGCCTGCAGAACTGCCCTCTTGGAACATGGGCTGACACCATGGGCATAAGCTGGGGAGTTCCACAGGGCATCAGAAGCCACACTCTGGGGGCCCTGGTGGTGCAGTCAATTAACAGACGGACTCCTGATTTGGGCTCAGGTCCTGCTCTCAGGGTCTTGGGACTGAGCCTCATGTCGAGCTCTGAGCCCAGCAAGGAGTCTGCTAAACTTGTTCTTTCTTTTTCTCTCTGCTCTTCCTCATTCTTTCCCTCCCTCTTTCTCTCTCTCTCTCTCTAATAAATAAATATAAAAATCTTTAAAAAGAAAGAAGGAAAGAAAGAAAGAAAAGAAAAAAAAGAAAGAAAGAATGAAAGAAAAGAAAGAAAAGAAAGAAGGGAAAGAAATAAAGAAAGAAAAGAAAGAAAGAAAGAAAGGAAAGAAAGAAAGGAAAGAAAGAAAGAAAGAAAAAAAAGAAAGAAAGAAAAGAAAAGAAAGAAAGAAAGAAAGAAAAGAAAAGAAAGAAAAAAAAGAAAGAAAGAAATCATACTCTGTGTGGGATTGAGTGTTAGTGAGGGGAAAACCAGGGCCATGATTTTAGAGCATCCAATCCAGATGGCAGTGCTGGCCTTGTTGGACCCAGATTCTAAAAGGAGACTTAAAAATATTTAAGGAGGGCCTTCCAAAGTGTGGGACTGCTTGGCTTAGGGTGCTGAGTAGGAGACTCACTTGTATATATTATTCAAGATTGTTGAAACATAAAAACTGATACCACCTCGTTAGTTACATCTTTTTCTCTTTCCTGAATTTTGAGAAAAATAGACTTTTGATTTGGCCTAAATTAGAAATTTAAGTTTAATTTTTTTTTTTTTTAAATAATGCCACCTTTTAAGATCTTAAATATTTACCTATTAATCAGGTAGAAGTTGGGGCTCCTGGGTGGCTCAGTCAATTAATCGACTGACTTTTGATCTCAGCTCAGGTCTTGATCTTAAGGGGTGAGTTCAAGCCCCATGATGGGCTCAACGCTGGGTGTGGAGCCTACATTAAAAAAAAAAAAAAAGGTAGATGCTGATTTTATGCATTGATTTCCTCTCTTAGATGGATCATAAAAGTATCTTTTTATTTTAAATAAATTGGCCATATTTTATAAGCAACCTATTACTAAATAAGCCCTAAATTTATCTCACCATTGAGCAAAAATTATTTAAAATTCCAGGAAACTGCAATCACTATGAAAATAAAACATAATTATTGTACCATCAAAAGAATAAATTATATCACTTTTCTAAGAGCTAAAATAGCAGTAGCTTTGACATTGGATAATTAACCCTCCATTTGTGATAAAATTTTCCTATTTTTGTTTTTTAAATTTTTTTAAAGATTTTATTTATTTGAGAGAGAGCATGAGAGAGAGAGAGATCAGAAGCAGCAGGAAGAGGTAGAGGGAAAAGCAGACTCCCTGCTGAGCAGGGAAACCAATGTGGGACTCAATCCCAGGACGCTGGGATCATGACCTGAGCTGAATGCTGATGCTTAACTGACTGATCCACCCAGGTGCCCCCAATTCTCCTCTTTTAAATTTAGCATAACTAGGATTCACAGCTCAATAGGTTTTCACAGTTGAGGATGCTTCCATTGCAGATGATGACCACTACTAGTCCATTCTGTTTACCTGATATCCTCTTCCCTGGACCTTCTGCCATATATTCTCAAGTGGCTATAGTTTTTAATTTTGCTCAGTTGACAGTGCAACGTTGAAGGCTTCATGTGGAATGTTGGCCAAGAAGGATCACCACCTGAAAATGAAATGAAAAAGAATATGATCTGGCTTCTAGATATAGTGTTCTACTAAATAACAGAAGCTCCTTCTCCTTCTAAAAACCTACTAATGGCTCTCACCAACCTGAATTGACAAGTTACATGTTGAAGCATTTTATTCTGCTCCCTATACCGTATTTTAGCCAGTTATTATGAGTACATTTTTAAATAAAACTTCAAACAAATGCAGTGATCATTAATTTCTTAAATATTTACTGGGGTAACTTCTGCAGAATAGATACTCTACTTTCAATCCAGCATTCACCTGTAATATTTGTCAACAAGACTCATTCCAAAACAGGAAATAAGCAACAAAATAGTTATTTAGTCTACATTATATGCCAGGCATTTTGCTAGGGGGCCAGCAAGACTAAGTAATAATAGTGCTTAAACAAATAATAATATCAATAATCTCATTATATTTTTGCATTTTATGATAACATTCCACGTTCATGCAGATTTAAAGTCTAATTCTTTCAGTGGGCATGTATCAATGTATGTGATTATCTGTTTTGGGTGCACCTGTGTTCCTTAACATGTTTCCTTCCTCTGACCACAATGTAACCACCTGTCCTGATCTTCCAGTGAAGCTGGTGGTAACTCGAGCATTGATGATTACTGCAGATATTCTAGCTGGCTTTGGATTTATCACTCTGCTTCTTGGTCTCAACTGTGTGAAATTCCTCCCTGATGAGCCATACATCAAAGTCCGCATCTGCTTTGTTTCCGGAACCATATTGCTAATAGCAGGTACTCTCTGCACTAGTGGTGGGGGTAGGGATGCTTGTCATTGATCTCGAAATGAAGGAGAAGGGTGCTTGTCATCAAGCAGTTCGTTTGAGGAACATATGTAATCTGCTTTTCTAGATTACAGGTAAAAAGAGCACATCCACCAACCCTACTTCCTTTAGCTGTAGAATTAGATAATTAATTTTTGTTAATGTCCCAAAGCAAAGTTTATTGAAGTCCTTAAACTACTTTTTAACCATTTAAAAAGTTAAAATGGTGAAAAAAGTTACATAATGCTTAAAATCTTTCAAATAATTTATTTTTTATTATTATTCCTGAAATTAAATTCTAAAGTAAGTCTCAAACCATCCCCTCCATACCTGTACTCACTCCCGCCAATTTTTTTTGCAGTGAACTAAATTGTGCCAAGTCCTATGTTAGACTTTTCTCATGTGCCATTTGATCATAAATGTAACAATAAAGCAGATTATATCTCCACTTAAGAAGCAGATGAATAAATGGAGTCCTGAAGGCTAATAAATCAAGCATGACTAATGAACAGTCAAGAAGCACTTTACATGGTGATTATTGATGGAAGAGCAAGAGTGATATTTTACACAGGTCTGTCATTAAATTCAGTTTAGTCTTCCTCTGTCACAACATGATGTCTTCTCAGGATCTTAATGCAAGTTGAGAGAAAATACACTGGTGAAATCAAAGTGCAAGAAGATTGAAAACCGCTGGGCACAGCCCTCAGAGAGAAAACCATCATTTTTTTATGGTAGCAGCCAAAAGCTAGCAAAGCAAATGTACGTGGGAATCTCACCAGGCAGTGCAAGATGCATGGATAGGGATTTGGGAACTAAAAATGCTTGGAGAGGCACCTGGCTGGCTCAGTCAGTAGAGCATGTGATCTTGATCTTGGAGTGGTGAGTTGGAGCCCCATGTGGATGGTAGAGTTTACTTAAAAAACAATAAAAAAGAAAAATAAATACTTAGAGATATGCATGTGTGATGTGTGAGTTTAGCAACTGGTCTCCTTTTCTTGATTTGCAAAATAAGGTGAAGCCCCAGTCATCATACCTACTCTGAACTGCTGTCCTGAAGATCCAGTGTGGATGGAGTAAGCACATAGCAGAGAGCCTAACCCATCACACAGTCAAAACTGTGTGAAGTTTTTCACACACACACTGAGTCAAGGCCTGATGATCCTTAGGTTGTATTAAAAAGTCACAAGAACTTAGTAAGTTTTCCTTTTTAAGACGTTTATTCCCATGTCTAGCCTAGTGATAACATGGAGCTTTTGTATGTAAAAATGTGTTTTACTCAACAAATTAAAAAAAAAAACACCATTTAATGCTATACAATTTTACTCCAGAATACTTTTTGAAATATCACTAGATATACCATTTTTTATTTAAAAAATAAATGAATAAATGAAAGCAAAGACCAAAACAAAGAAACAATGAATTGATGGGGAAAATCCCTACAGGAGTGGTTAAAGAAATGACAAAATTAAATTTCAATAGATGGCCAAAGGCTTGGAACCATCTAGTATGCCATATATATTGTATATAAAATACTAATTTTATGTCTAAAATACTAATGCCATACACATGATATGTTACATATAAATATTTATGGCATACTGTTTTCATATGAAATTAAATATATACATATTTCATAAATATGTATCTCTGTGTGTATATGTATAATTTTTCATAATCTGTAAATTTCGTAAAGGAATTTCCATATTAAACTTATAGATTACAATATTATAGAAAATATGTGGTAATTTAAACTGTTATCTGAAGGTTATGTGTTCATGATCTGGTCCTTCTTAAACTTCTTGCGTTAAACAATTGGGAAAAGAATGCAATGAAATGGTGAACACTTTTCACATAACATTTTGTCCCATAGTTCCTCACCTTTTTCCCTTGCATCTAATCAATGATGTTCAATTTATACCCTTAAAGTGAGAGGACTCTTGTGACATCATTTCAAGCCAGTCCAATTGTCAGAGAGACAATTTGGGGTATTAAATTTTGTTTAAAAGGAACAAAATTTCTTTGTTCATGCTTATATAGTGTAGGGGTGGTAGAAAAGAATTTATTTTAAAATAAAAGCAGTTTTTACTGAAGTTATTTGTTTTTGACCCCAACACACTAAAATTATTGACTTCTAATACATAGTTTCCTTATGGGTGCTGATTATGTAGTTGACATAGCTTTAATTGTGGGTCTATGTGGTTGGGCAGAGGAGAAATAAAATAGTCTTAAAGATATATACTTTTAATTAAAAATCAATAGACAATGAATATAGGCTATATATTATTTGTCTTTGATTTTGTGTTCTTTCTTTTTTTTCATATTTTATTTTATATAACACTTAAAGAAAACATTGGAAAGAAGGAATTAAAGAAAACCACAATGACCATTTTAACTTTACACAAACAGAGGAAGACTGCATTGTTTAAATCTTTGTATTTCTCTTTATGTATAAACTGATATATAGTTGAGAAGAAATGCAAAATAGAAAACAAAAGGAAGACATCGAAGAGGTATCCAAACTTTGAGCTGTCCATGATCCTTCACATCATTATTATCCCTCTAAATTATGCCATGCATTTTGGATAGCAGTCAGATCTCCTTGAATTTAAATTTGGGAAGGTCTGCATTATTTTTAGCAACTTTTCTTTCTTTCAGGTGCCCCAGGAATCATTGGTTCCGTGTGGTACGCTGTTGATGTTTATGTGGAACGTTCTTCTCTGGTTTTGCACAATATATTTCTTGGCATCCAATATAAATTTGGTTGGTCTTGTTGGCTCGGAATGGCTGGGTCTCTGGGTTGCTTTTTGGCTGGTGCCGTCCTGACGTGCTGCTTATACCTCTTCAAAGGTAAGAACAAAATAAAGTAACACATTTACATGCATCCTGTATCAGTCTTCCCAGACAAATGGAAACAGATCTTACCAGCACAAAATAATGAAATGGTGAACACTTTTCACATAGCCTTTTGCATACTTGATCCCTACTTATTATAAATGATACGTGATCCCTACTTATTATAAATGATACTTTAACAATTTCTGTTTAAGGGCAACTGATTTGCAATATTCATGGCTTATTACCTGGTTAGTGGTATAATGGGTGAAAACAAACCCACAGTTATAGCTATATCCAATATCTAAATATAAAATGATGATTTCAGTGTGTTCATAATCTCATATATCTAATTTTATCCAATCTATTCTATATATATCCAGAGTTAAATAAAGAAGTAGACTGAGAGCTAAGTCAAATAATTGTTGTTAATAAATGTAATGTGTTTTTATTGGGTCTCTAAAAATATCACTTTAAAAGTAAGAGAAATCCATCTCCTCATCAGAAAGAAAGAAAGAGAAAAGAGAGAGAAAGAGAGAGAAAGAAAGGAAAAAAGAAAGAGAGAGAAAGAGAAGGGAGGGGGGAGAAAGAAAAGAAAATTACCCAAGTTTTAAATTAAAAAAAAAAAACTTTCCAGATGAAAATTTTCAAATTTCTTCTAGAGTTCTTCTTAGATGATTCTGTCTTAGAATATTTGTATTCTTTCCTCTTTATGAGAAGAATGGGTAAAATGACATTTTTCCCCCAGATTTACTGAGTCTTATTTATATTTATATCACGACATTTATCTCTTTCCAACAGATGTTGGACCTGAGAGGCACTATCCGTATTCCATGAGGAAAGCCTATTCAACAGCAACTGTTTCGATGGCCAAGTCATACGTAGCCCCTCGGACAGAGACTGCCAAAATGTATGCAGTGGACACGAGGGTATAGAGTGCCACGTGTCTATCTGCATGTATGTTACTGAAATAATCAATCCGTATGTTTGGGTTAATCCAGGAACACTTACTTAAACCTCAATATGTTCAACTAAATTAATTGCTCAGCTTAATCAAGAAGTTTGATTCTCCTATCCTGCTCCTTTTCTGTTACTCTCATATTCTCTCTCCTCCTTTCTACCCTCCTCTTTCACAGGCCCTCATACACTTCCCCTGTATTTCCAGATAAGGTTGCTAGGATATACAAATGTTTGTTTGTGATTTCTATATTGCTATTAAAGATTGTGACATGGTGATATTCAAGTAAAATGACACTTTAAGACTAGAAAGCAACTTTCTAAAGAGGCCAGAGATTCTAATCTTTGAAGGGATTGACAGCCTCTTAGCAAATTTCCTGGCTTTTGGTTCATTCTTTGTGTTCTCATCTGAGTGAGTTATTTGATAACTTGGAAGAAGACGATTCTTCTAAATTTAAACTTGTATATCAAACCCTACCATTACTCTGACTGTTAAAATAGAAAAATAAATCAACAGCTTCATACACCAGCCACTGGTGGAATTTAAAGATAAGAAGTTTCCCCTCCAAGCCTGGCATGTCAAATGCAAGTGCTTAATTAATACTAGAGCAGTGATGATTTATTTCTCATTAACAACATAAGAGATCTGTGTATTATTTTATCACACTATAATTTTGCCTATATATTGCCAAACTATTAGACCACAGCAGCGATAGCTAAGCCAGAGAGTTCATTCGTTGATTGATTAGACATCCAAAAATGTTTCATGAATACATTATAATAGAATTCACTGATTCAGGTGTCCTCACACCACTGGATCTTCAGCACCCAGGAAAATATCTGACATGTGATAAAATGTAACATAGTTGTTGATTGGAAGAAATAAAGACTCACAGCTCTATAGTGAAAATAAGATCAATTTTTCTCATAAATTGTGTACTTATTTGAAAAAAGAGAACTATATATTTAATTATACACTTAAAGAAATCAGTGAATGATTGCTAATGAGATTTTACTCATATTCTAATGTAATCATCTTAATTTTTTAAATGGTAGGGTTTTTTAAAAGTTAAATAATTTAATCTCAGGTTTTCTGATTTCTTATATATCGCATGAATAGCATTAATACTCTTGCTGTACCTTAACAGGCTATCCACTGAACTAGAAATTAGTTCTTTGGAAAAATGAAGATTTAGTTGTGAATTTCTGAAGGCCCCCCAAAAGAAGTGTTTTAAATTTAAAAAGCTAAAAGTCGTGTGAAAATGAGATGATGAAATCCTAATACATATATTTATGTTGTTGTGAATGGTGTTCATGACTTCACGTGGTATCTTTTTACCAGTATTCTCAGGAGAAATTCTAAGCGAATCTTAGAACTGAAAGCAACTGATTAACTTTTATTTCGTAGATATAACTAACCATGTAATTGACACTTAAGAAATTATTTGTAGATCATGTTTACTTGTTATACTGGTGTTATTTTATGCAGCTTAAAACTTATTTTTTTTGTTCACTTTTTCACAACCTTGGCTTTTAAATTTTTTACTTCTACTTTTATTTAATAAGGTATTTTCTGTCATGTTTTATATAGTCTAATAAGTCTTTTGAAATTCTTCTTGGGAAAGGGAGGGTAAAATTAATTAAATGACTCATCAGATTTTAGAAATATAAATTTTTCCACCCTAAAAGACTTCATTTGTATGAGAAAATATTTCAGAGGATTCTGGTGATAACTGACATCTATGAATGTTTTGAAATTTTTCTCAATAAAAATGTTTTGTATATCCTGGGACATATATTTGGTTTTTTTTTTTTTAATTTCTTTGGGAATTAGCCTTTTGTTATTATAGATGTTGTATATATGCATTGTAGAAAGTTGTAGAACAAAAATAACCAAAAATGTATCTTCCATATTTTACAATATGGCCCTGTGTTCTCTCCACCGAGAGCATCACTATTCCTATAACCTCACTGAGTATCTGCATATCCTTCCAGACATTCTACATTTATACACATATATGCAAAGACACTCCCACATAAGCATGTATTTATTTTTAAGAGATAATTTCATATATGTTGCCTTATAAGCTACCTTTTTTCCTATGTAATACTTCTGTTTTTTTATAGCAATACATTTTCATTTTATCTAATTCCCTATCCCCATTGAAATTTCCCCAAGTTTTTAAAAATGCATAAGACAACTGGTTTGTCCAAACCAGAATCTGCATTTCCTTTGGTTGGTGTGCCCCTTAAATCTCTTTGATTTGAGCCACATGCTTTTTCATTGACTCTGAAAAGACAAAACAAAACAAAACAATGGAACCAGTTTTCTTTAATTTTGTCCCACCTTTTGGATTCTGTTTTGATGACAGATTATTTCTCTATGCCTTCTATTTCTAATAAGTTGAAATTTAAATCTGTAGACTTGATGGAATCAAGTTCAAAAGTTTCTAGAAGACACTATAAGTGTTGTGATAGCATATCTGGAGATTTAACATCTGGTTGATTTAGCCTCAGTTATGCGAAAATGATTCACCGGGTTAGGATGATGGCTATCTAATCCATCCGCTCTTCAGTTGTATATATTAGTGACAGAAGCAAGGGATTATTATGAGTTCTTCTGGAAACTGTAGGGATATTCCATTATCCATCAACCATAATAATAATTTTAAAATAACACCTTTAACAATTGATAATCCTTATCTGAATCAATAATTGGTTAGGATTTGTAGAAAGGTGATTTTCTAATTTTATTTTATTTACAACTGTAGTAGAAATTTGTCTGTAAAATAAGCCTCGTCTCCCCATCTGAGTCTGTGTAGTTACCATAACCAATCATGTTTCTCCTTTTGCTTAAATGTCTTCCTATTGTCTCTAGGATAAAGGGACAAAAATTTTAACATGATTCTGGGCAGCCAGTTCTTGTCAGCCTTGGTTTTGGCTCCGGTGATGGCTTCTGTGTCCTGAGAGCAAGGCCTGTGTGGCTCCGTGCTCAGCTCTCCTTTTCCTCCGCCCTTCCCCTCTATTCTCTCTCTCAAATAAATAAATAAATCTTTAAAAATAGTTAACAAGACTGCAAGCTCCAAAGGGGCAAAACATTTTTTACTTTGTGTACTGCTCTATTCCCAGCACCCTGCACCATGCCTGATACATCGCAGGCCCTCAGTACCTGTGTTTGAATAAATGAGCGAATGAAATGGTGATCATCCTGTGGCCTGCAAAACCCAAGCAGCCATTGCATGCAACTGATTTGTTGATTGGATTATTCTTACATCATTCATGCATATATCTGTGCAGTTTGATTAAAAGACCATCTGTGTGTTTTCAAGCATCCTCAAGCACAGAGGGGACAGAGACACAAACAACTAAAGTTAGTGTGCAATAAAATAATTGCTACAGTGTGGGTATGTATGCATTGGCATAAGAAAGCAATCACTTCCGCCTAAGAGTAAGGGGAGGCTTTGCAGAGGAGGGACATGTTCAAAGGAGACAACTTGGGAGAAAGAATTCTATACAAAGAACAACATGCACAGAGAAAGAAGCAAGAGAAACCAACTAATGTGCTAAAAATTGCAAGTACTTCCATGTTCCCAGAGCTTAACTGGGAGAAGGAGGTATTTTGTTGTTGTTGTAAGATTTTATTTATTATTTATTTGAGAGAGAGAGAGAGAGAGCCAGCAGGAACACAAGCAGGGGGAACTGCAGAGGAAAAGGGAGAAGTAGGCTCCCCGTTGAGCCAGAAGCCAGAGCTGGGGCTCCATCCCATCACCTGAGCTGAAAGCAGACATTCAACCAACTGAGCCACTGAGGCACATCGGAGAAGGAGGTTTTGATATTCACGAATTATTTTATTTATTTTAAATTTTTAAAAAGATTTTATTTATTTATTTGACAGAGAGAGATCACAAGTAGGCAGAGAGGCAGGCAGAGAGAGAGAGAGGGAAGCAGGCTCCCTGCTGAGCAGAGAGCCTTATGCAGGGCTCCATTCCAGGACCCTGAGATCATGACCTGAGCTGAAGGCAGAGGCTTAACCCACTGAGCCACCCAGGCACCCCAACAAATTATTTTAAAATGAAAAATATGAGGAGATAGCATTTTCCCTCTTTCCAAGGTAGGAAAATTCAACAGAAGATATTTGTTAAAAACCCTCAATGCCATCGTTAGAAATACAACCCAAGTTCCCGGGGTGCTAGTTTTATTTGGCATGGCAACCGTCCTAGTGTTCCTAATGCAGACAGCTTCTTTGTGGAATCCTTTATGCAGCAAAGTATTAAGCTAGTTTTCACCATCACAGACATAATTCTGATTCTCAGTTAATCTTCCGATCATTTCTTCTCCTTTACACTTTAATCTTCTTTCATATCAGTTGCTTTACTTTTTTGGTTTTGAAGGGAACAGTTCGAATCTTATTTTAAGGCGATGAACTGAGAATTAGGTAGAAAAATAGTTCTTGGAGTAGGTTCTGCAGTTTTTGAGCTCAGAAGTAATTGTTCCCAAGTAAATAATGTTAGCCCCTGATATGCAGTAATTAATTGAAAATAATATAATGCACAGTTCAATATTGGTTAACCTCTTTCCATTCAAAAAAAAGTTTGCAATTTGTCACTTAAAGATTTATTGAAATAATTTTATTTGTTTAAAATAAAAAGGGATAAGGAAAAAGACACACAAAAACCCCACGATTATTCCAGCACCTAGAAGAGAGTTAACACAGAGAAAATTATATATGCACAATGTTTTTCAGAAATTAATAGTACTGAATATGAATGTTCCTCTTACCCACCTCCATGGACTTCCCTTACAGTCTCTCTCCCAAGAGATGTACTTCTCCCATATTTCTTGTATCCTTTCAAAGAAACAAAAATTAAAATTTATGGCATACAGAGATCTTTTGACAATGTATATACGGCATTTTGTTACTCGATATTTTCCTTTTAAAAATAAAATCAATACTTAAGTATATTTATTGATATTTTTC